CTGAGGGGTTTGATGACATTGGTCGTCCGACTAAAGATAGAGGAGAAAACATAGTTTATGGAAGAAGCCCAGCAGTTACAAACGATTTTCAGTCCAAATAGATAGAGCCTCAAGCGCAAAAGACTGAATAGGTAATGATGTGGTATTGACCATAGGGAGATTGATTGCTCTCTTGTAAATAAATATTCACTGGATTGAGGAAATCCTATATTATTTAATATTTAGAATACAATTCCGCTTGTCATGTTTAAGGTTCTCCACAAAGATGACCCAAATGACCATCGATGGTGATCTCTGATAGGCAAGTACAATTGATCATAGTCAATCCACCCCACCAGTCAGCTTCGAGGAGCCTCAGTTTGCATTTCTATCTTCCAATCTTGATTAATTGACTTAATCCTAAGTGTGCCTTGATCGTTATGGAATACTCTAGCTTGGCCAAAGCTGTATGTCACTACTTAGAGAGGCATCTGACAGTACCAGAAGGCTGGTAGATCAAGTCATTGGGCAGACTAGATGGGCCGAATGGTTCTTATCTGCCGTCACATTCTATGTTTCTATATAAACATTCTAGTTCTCCCTTCCTTCCCTCATAAGGCACTCGTTTATCCCAATCTCTGTCACTGCTAGTAGATTTATGAACACCGCTATGAACACCGCTTTAAGAGCTCCCTCAGTAACACAACAAAACTACTGTTTAACTAGGCATGACACACAGTATAATGCAACTTTCAGTAAGAGGCCATTCATACCAAATGCTGCATCAGCTATCCATAGAGGAGCCCTCATACTGGGTACAGATAGAGGGTAAAATAGCATTCTGTTTGTGACCAAATGGAAGACAATCTTGCCTCTGAGCAGTTTCCAATTTTCTTACCCTGTTTAGTTATTGCAGGACAAGGGATATACAGACCATTCTATCGGGAGCACTGCATTTCCCTTCACAAGCTGCAGCAGCCAACCTTTTCCCACATGCAGCCAGAGGGGGCACAGGACTTCCTCCTGGGTCATAGAGAGCAGCGCAGGGGAAAGACAGGGAGAGGAAGCTCAGGTGGTACGTGTGAGGCAGTTTATGTGATTTAGTCAGATATGTGTATCAGTGTGTATGGGTCAGTCTCTTTGTGTGGGGGGTCAGTCTGTGTGTGTGGTGTGTATGGGTTAGTCTGTGTGTGGGGTGGGGGGCTCAGTCTGTGTGTGTGGGGGGCTGTGTATATGTATGGGTCAGTCTGTGTTTCTGGGGTCAGCCTGTGGGGTGTCTGTGTGTGGGGTTAGGGGCTCAGTCTGTGTGTGTGGGGGGCTGTGTATATGTATGGGTCAGTCTGTGTTTCTGGGGTCAGTCTGTGTGTGTGGGGTGTGTGTATGGGTTAGTCCGTGTGTGGGGTGGGGGCTCAGTCTGTGTGTGGGTTGGGGGCTCAGTCTGTATGTGGGGGGACTGTGTATATGTATGGGTATGGCTGTGTGTGTGGGGTCAGTCTGTGTGTGGGGTGGGTTAGTCTGTGTGTGGGGGTCAGTCTGTGTGTGTGGGGTGGGTCAGTCTATGTGTGTGTGGCTCAGTCTGTGTGTGTGGGGGGGGTCAGTTTGTGTGTGTGTCAGTCTGGGTGTGTGTGGTGAGGGCTCAGTCTGTGTGTGTATGGGTCAATCTGTGTGTTTGTGTGGGTAAGAGTGTGTGTGTGTGTGTGTGTATGAGTCAGTCTGTATGGTGTGGGTCAGTCTGTGTGTGTGTGTGTGTGTGTGTATGGGGGGAGCAGTCTGTGTGTGTGGGTCAGTATGTTTATGGATCGGTCTGTGGGTTTGTATGGGTCAGTCTGTGTAAGTGCTTTAGCTCCAAGAGAGATACCTCTCATCTCGTGACCTTCCCTGTACCCGATGGATAGGCAGCTTTCTCAACCACCATGGATCTGATTGTGCCACCCCCTCCCTGCAAGGTAAGATAAGGGAAAGGGGAATATTCTGTTTGTTTGTTTTTTTAACAATTATTGAAGTAAAAAATTGTAAAGCCCTTCCCTATCCCACTCTCTACACCCCCATGAACACAGTACAACCTCACAGACATTGAACCCCTCACATACAGTACACTCCCACCAACACAGAGTACACCTTTGCATACACACACAGTGCACCCCTCACACACATCATCCCTTCACCCACATGCACACTTCTTCCCAACATACCTTCACCCCCACACGCACACATACATGCATCACCCCATTGCACTCTGAATCTCATATATATATATATATATATATATATATATATATAATAACTACAGCTTCTTGATAAGCACACAATGCAACCCCAATACACACGCTCACACTACAGTCCCTAGATGCACACACACACTTTACAGGCCCCTTCAGCACACACAATCACGTGCTCACAGTACAGCCGCTAGTTACACATAGTCCACCATAAACAGACTCCTCTATACACACACTTCACCACAGCCCCTTCTAAACTCCATGGAAAATTATCTTGCATCTCCTGAAAAGGTTTTACAGTCTCTATGAAAAGGTGTCTTGCCTGTAATAAGGAAGGCGCAGTGGTGGAACTACAAGAAGTAATGGTGTTGCGGTTACACTGGGGCCCATTGAGTGGCCCATGCAATTAGGGCCACCTGATGGGCATGTGTTTTCACTCTACGTTAGTTCCGCCACTGTGCAGCAGCTTCCCCAGCACACAAGCTCTTCCCATTCATGGAAGATCGCCTCCCCGTATCCAAGCTCAGCCCACCAATATCAGACTGAGACACACACTGACAGACATACACACATTCTGACAGACATACAGTGAGAGGTACACACTCTCTGACTGAGACACACATACTGAGCCACATACACACACACATTTTCTTACACACTCACAAATTGCTATTTCTATTTTAATTTAAATTCACCCAGCCTCCCTACCTTTGGGAGAGCTGAGTGGATCTTTCCCTGGTGTCCAGTGTGTCTCCTCTCAATCTTCCTGCAGTTTCTCTCTGCTCCCCTGCGTGCTCTCTGTAGTGATGCCGGTGCCGGAATGACGTCATGTCACTAAAATGGCGACTAGACATTTCGTCCTGGAGTCTGGTACTTGTCAGCCCTTTGCTAAGCCACGCAGGAAACATTAAATATGTCCGCCGCGGGGAGCATGGAGATGGCCCGCAAGGGAGCAGAGAGGAACTGCAGGAAGGTACTGCATCCTCGCGCGCCATCTCCATGACCCCACGGCAGCCGGCTTTAACGTTTCCTGCGCGACTTAGCAAAGGGCTGACAAATGCCAGGGCACAAAGTCTAGTTACCATGGCGACCTGGGATTTGTCGAGCTCTGTGTATGTATGTATATATATATATGTACACACATGAATATACACGTTTTATAACTGCCCCCCTACTTTTCTCCCTGGTCCCTTATATGCCCCCCCCCCAAGTATGAATCCTGCAAATGCCACTGATAGTGAGGCACCAAGAAGAAGAGGAATGATACCCCCTAAACAACCATTCAGCATGGTTATTGCTTATTTTGTTTTTCCTCAGCAGCAGGTCAGTCATTACACAGGATGTGAGGAACGGTAGTCATATTGAGACTGCTATTATCATTCTGACAGTCCCATTAACAATTTTACTCACGCCTCTGACCACAAATGCAAATAGCTAAATATACAGGGGAGACAGAGAGGTATACAGTATATACAATCCACCATGCACACTCTGTACTTTAACTTTGATTTCATAGGAATATCTGTTGCCTAAAACCAGATGTCTGATACATGAAACATTACAACCTGTAATGTTACTCAATTACCTGCTCACTTAACTGACATTTTTCTTTAGCTTCAAGGGACACTATAATCACCAACACAACTTTAGCTTAATAAGGCAGTTTTGGTGTATAGATCATGCTCTTGTAGTCTTACTGCTCAATTCTCTGTAATTTAAGAGTTAAATTACTTTGTTTATGCAGCTCTAGCCACACCTCCCTGCATGTGACTTACACTGCCTTCCTAAACACTTCCTGTAAAGTCATCTAATATTTACACTTCCTTTATTGCAAATTCTGTTTCATTTAGAATGTATCTCCTGTTCTGTTAATAGCTTGCCAGACAATGCAGAAGTCTCATGTATGTATTTAAAGTTCAATTTACAAAATAAGTTACATCTCATTGAAAGTGAAATATATTTTTTTTCATGCAGGTTGTGTGAATTTACAGTCAGGGGAGGAATGGCTGGAGCAGCAGAAGCATAAACAAAAGTAATTTAACTCCTAAATGGCAGATAATTGAGCAATGAAACTTCAGAGTCATAATCTATACACAAAAACTGCTTCAGTGAGCTAAAGTTGTTTTGGTGACTATAGTGTGCCTTTGACTGTTTATCAGATACAGTGTTGAAAAGTCTCGGGGCCTGGTGGGGAAACAGGGGGTGTAAAGCACAGCGCTGAAAATGTATGAATTCAGCATGTGAATGTGTAGATGTGTTTGTTAAACATATCTGTCAAAAAACAGTCATGTATTCCTGTAATTGTTTTCTAACTAAAGGTCTATAGTGGGAACTAAAAGGAGGAAGATATATCTAAAAACTTTGCATCAATAGAGTTTTTTTTTTTTTTTTTTTTTAAAGTGCCCAATTCCAGTAGTTGTACTTGAATGATGATGACCATAGATGGCTGAGTAAAAGTGGCAAGTAATCTTTCAGAAAATTATTCCCATAAAATCAAAACTGTGCGTTAAGTCTGGCTATCCATTCGAGCCACTGAAAGACTGGAATCCTCTCTCTTTAAGTGGGAAGAAAAATATCTGATAACCCTTCCCCTGCTGTTTTCAACCCCCTCATCCACTTAATCACAATTCACTGCTTGTGACCCATACTGCCATCTACCAAATATAACGAGAAAATGACACTTAATATTCCACCCAAAGTAACTACTAGTAGTAGTAATTTTAGTAGTGATATATATTGTTGTATGAGTTTAATAATGTTGAATTGATGGATTTCAGTCTTTTTTTTGTGGTTTGAATTTATCTATTCAAGTAAGTTCACCAGGAAGTTGTCTTCGTCCAAGACACCTTCTTCTTCATCTTTCTCTACTCCATCTTCCAACGCCTCGTAAGCTGGACTCACCAGGACAGCAGTCGCTGGAACCTCAATATCCTTTTCACTGCTCTCCATGGTCTCTGCTGGATAGAATCGTCTGGCAATAGACACAAACTCTGTTCCTATGTCAAGGACAATGAGACGGTCCTGGAAAAATAAAAACTAAAAATTATTTTTTTTTCTATACACAAGACCAGGTCTTCCCTCTGTATGCCACTGCTATTTTTGAAGTGCAATTTTATGGTTGACACATTTTGGACTCTATGGTAGAAACGATGTAGTGTGTATGCACGTGGACATAGATTTGGGGTCAAATTCTAAACACAAAGGTGCAAACACTATTTGGAACAATTCATTTCTCTACTACAAATATGCCCCAGACGGCCTACATTCCATGCAAAACACAGGTTTCGGATGTTTAGCAATCTGTGAATTGAAATATTTTTAGACATATTCAGATATTGCTGCTCACTGTTTTTGTTGCAGGTACGATGATCAAGAAAAAGGTGTTACAAAAGAAAACAATTTATTATTCAAATATCAATTCACCATACCCCTATAAATCCAGGCAGGGTTATAGCCTTACACAATGTAAATGTGAGGGTAGCATTCTCTGGACAAAATCTAATTTCTGAGTAATTCCAAAGCTATCTGTGACCACTTCCATGACATGTTGAGCCAATGTATATCAAGTCTGGGAGTGTATTCGCTTCACAATGAAATGTAGTAAATTTCAATATACAAAAAATTGCCAAATTTAGCAACAGTGCTAATTTGGATAAAAAAAAAATCTGTAACTCAGCTATAGTCACAGCTTGGTTATTTTACCGTACATTTTGCAATTTTGTCATTGGATATTTGGAATCTACGGTTCCCTCTGCTGTCAAAATCAAACAATTACATACAACAGGTCCTTTCAAATGCTGCTTCACTTCCTTTTGAGAATACAAAGAAATGTTAGTTACAACTCTCTCACACAGAGAGCACCACACAGGCACTAACACGCACAAGAAGTCCATCTCTTTCGAGAAACACTCACGCACTCACACAAAACACAGACACTCAGGTTGCCGAAGCGTGTGCAAGTATAGCATATACATTCACATACTTAGTGTTCCAGTTCTCACATATTAAAAAAACACTGCCATTCTCACGACAGCTACCTTGCTTTATGAGAGTCTCATCGGAGTAAAAGATAATTGCGCTCTCATTTGAAGACAGTGGTTCTTGCCTTTTTTGTCAGATACCCAGATTACATACATCCAGATGACTAATTAACTTGGAGTCCATTCTTTAAGTATAATATAACATTACAATATATTTAGCAAAACTTTAATTATGCTGGTTGCAGTAGGTAAGGCAAGGTGATGTGACTATAGTAAACATTTTATTTTGCCGAGGTGCCCTAAAGGTAGATCCCCAAATGTTTTTTTAAACCATCACGGAACTTGCAGTTTGATGGAGGTTGTTTGTTGTGCTGCCCTTGTTATAGGGGGGGTAATTGTTATGATGTGCCTAGTCCAACCCTAAGGACTCGGTGAAATAACAGAGGCATGCCAACTGTGGGGGAGCAGGTGACAGGCTGGTGCAGAAAGCAGACACCTTACTATTAACACATGTGGCAGGTGCCTGCTCTGCAAACAGGCGGCTGGACTAAGGACTAAGACTGCCTCTAGTGGCTGTCAATCAGACATCCTCTAGAGGCACTTCCTGGATGCCATAAGACTCAAGGACCCCTAAATCACAGTGGATGTCCTCACGCTCTGCATGAGGACATCCAGCATCAGTGAAATCCCCATAGGAAAGCACTGAGGCAATGCTTTCCAATGAGGAGAGCCTAAAACGCTCCTCGCACTCATCAGAGGAGGCAGAGTGCCGACCCAGCGCCAAGAGACATGATGCTGGAATTGGATAAGTGACTAAAGTGTTAATCCCTTCAAGGAAAGATAGCACCTGTGACGTGCCAGTACCAAAACAACCTAATTAAGATAACGTTGTTATGGTGCAGGAGTGTCCGTTAAATATGTGCGTTTGCATATGAATGTGAATATGTCTGTGCAATTTCCTTAAGAACAGGGGGAGGGCCAACATAAATTTCTCCCATAGGTGCCAAGTAACCTAGGTACACCTCTGTGAACCACTGCTTTATAAGAATCATACAGGCACAAATATATCAGCTCTCTCACTTTATGGTACTCACAGAACTGTAAATATATCAGCTGTCTTACTTTATGCAATCACGCAGCTGTAAATATACCAGCACTCTCACTTTATGGCAATCACGCTGTTGTAAATACATCAGCACTCTCAGTTTATGGCAATCACACAGCTGTAAATATATCAGCACTCAGTTTATGGCAATCACACAGCTGTAAATATATCAGCACTCTCAGTTTATGAGAATCACAGAGCTGTGAATGTACCAGCTCTCACTTTATGAGCATTACGCATTCACTCATACACAATACTCATCACATTCTGTTAATAGGACATTACATTCACGCACACTACAGCTGTCTCTGTTTGTTAGAATCATGCACACTTTCACATAATAGCCCAAAGCTATTAAACAGCTGCATTTTATGGTGGTTTGACCCGGGCTGCGGCTCCGAGTGGGCACAATAAAACTTTAATGCACCGTATTTGGAGTTTATTATCCCTAACTACCATAGCATGCACAGGTACAGTGACATTCCAAGAACCATAACTACCATAGCATTCACAGGTACAGTGACATTGCAAGAACCATGACTACCATAGCATTCACAGGTACAGTGACATTCCAAGAACCATAACTACCATAGCATTCACAGGTACAGTGACATTCCAAGAACCATAACTACCATAGCATGCACAGGTACAGTGACATTCCAAGAACCATAACTACCATAGCATTCACAGGTACAGTGACATTCCAAGAACCATAACTACCATAGCATTCACAGGTACAGTGACATTCCAAGAACCATAACTACCATAGCATTCACAGGTACAGTGACATTCCAAGAACCATAACTACCATAGCATTCACAGGTACAGTGACATTCAAAGAACCATGACTACCATAGCATTCACAGGTACAGTGACATTCCAAGAACCATAACTACCATAGCATTCACAGTTACAGTGACATTACAAGAACCATAACTACCATAGCATTCACAGGTATAGTGCTAACGGTTTCACAGCTTACCTGGGGTCTGCTGGGTGTTGGCCACTTCCTCTGTTGAGAACCTGAAGCTCCTACATGCTGCTTCCGTTTGTTGTCTTGAGGACTGCCTGACTTAGCTAGAAGCAGAGACCTTCTAGCTTGCAAGGTGGTGGTGACTGGTTTCCAGTGAAAGCCATATAAGTTTTCAAATAAGTTTTCAAACTGTTATCAAATGGTCTGACTGTTTATATTAGGGACACTTCTGGCACTATAACCACTATAGCATGCTTCATCTCATTGAAGTGGTCTGGATGCACTGTCCCTATCCCCTTAACACTTCAATGTTAGTTGAATTACATTAAAATTACATTGCAGGGTTAAGACTGCCTCTAGTGGCTGCCAATCAGATAGCCACCAGATTGGCATGCACTTGCTGCTTGCAAGACGACTTTGGTCGCCTAACTGACGCTGGACGTCCTCACGTCATGAAGCTTTTTAAAAATGTATTTAAAAAAAAAAAAAAAAAAAATCCCTTATCCCTATGTAACCCCCCTCCCCCACACACACACAGTACCTCTCACATAGACACACAGCATCCTTCACATACACACATTGCACCTCTCATATACACACAGAGCACCCCTCACATACACACACAGCACCGCCCACATACACACACACACACAACACCCCTCACATAGACACCCAGCATCCTTCACATACACACAGAGCACCCCTCACATACACACACTGAACCCTTCACACACTCAGAGCACCCCTCACACGTACACACACTGCACCCCTCACATGTACACACACTGCACTACTTACACACTTCGCACCTCACACACACTGCACCCCTCACACACGCACCCCTCACACACACTCAAACCGTCACATACACAGAGAACCCCTCACACACACATATACACACTGCACTCCTCACACACACAGCTGCACCCCTCACGCACACACAATGCACCATGATGTCTGTCAGTGTGTATTCAGCAGTCTGTGTGTTTGTGTTCTGCTCTCTGTGTGTGTGTTCAGCAGTCTGTGTGCATGTATTCAGTAGTCTGTGTGCGTGCGTTCAGCAGTCTGTGTGTGCGTTCAGCAGTCTGTGTGTATATATTCAGCAGTCTGTGTGTATTTACTCAGCAGTCTGTGTGTATTTACTCAGCAGTCTGTGTGTATTTACTCAGCAGTTTGTCTGTGTGTATTCAGCAGTCTTTGTATTTGTGTTCTGCTGCAATGGGCTTTGACTAGTACAAGAGAATATAAGTGGTAGCTTATTGAGTAAAACACGAGTCATAGGATTAAGCTGAGGAAAATTTTTAAATTAAACAATGTTAACGCCCCCATGTATCACTGGGTTGCGCTGTGGGGCCAGGTCAATGAAAGCGAGGTGGAGGGGTGGGGGGGTTGGGGGAGAGATCCTGTCTGTGGTGTAGAGCGGTGGGTATCTATCAATTATTGGGAAGCATCGTGTTGGAAATATAAGCAATCGCACCTAGACACATAGTGTGAGTTAGACATAATTAAAATAAACTTAAACATAGGTAATCTTTGAACCAGTCAGTGAAGGTTTGGAGGCAAAAGGGCTCTAGTCTCAGGTGGTGGCTGTAGTATAAGTGTCCGAGAGGGCCCTCCGTGGCGTGAACGACTGGATGTTCGCTGGATCCCATCTGGTTGTTTCTGCAATCCTGGGGTGTCCAGGTTGTAACGCAGTGTCCTCTGGTAGCCCCAATATACACAGGAGGGCCTGTGTTTCTTGCAGGTCGTGCTACGTGTGGGTGGTCTCTCCTTGCTGGATCTGTAGGCGAGAGCCAGCGGTATTGCAGGCTGTGGGCCCGAAGTAGTGCTGAAAAAGGGCTGCATAGATTTGTGCAAGGCCCCCATCATCCGTCTCAGTAGGTGTGGGAGTTCCGCCTCAGGAGTTTCCTCCGGCATGCCCCTGATCTTTAAATTTTTCTGTCGTCGTCTATTCCAGGTTGGCAAAGCGCTGGTCAATGAGTACCTGCTGTTTCTTCAGTGCTTGTACTTCCAGCTGAAGCTCTGCCATCGAAACAGCTTGTTTCTCTGCGGTGGTCTCGACCCCCTCCAGACGGCCTACCAGGCCCGTCAGGTCGGAGCGGAGTTGGGCCACATCCGGATTCAGGATCCCCGGCCAGAGTCTCCCCTCTCAGAGACCAAGGCCGGCTGCATGGGTGTCGGCATTCTCAGGCTCCTGCTGTCTAGGGCAAAATCCTCGGAGGAATCAGAAAAATTCTCGAGGTCGGCGGCCATCTTGGGCCCATAAGCGCCCTGAGCCCGTCGGAACAAGTCCAGGCTGGTCCGTCCTTGTTTTTTTTGTCTTGCGACCCATTTTGGTCTGGTGAGTATTTACCACGGTTTCCGGGCTCAGGAGTTAGTGTATTTTTTGGTTGAAACGGGCCAAAGTACGGAGCCCATGTAGTATGCGTCTTGCGCATTCAACCGCTTAGCTCCGCCCCCTATTGTGGGTTTTGACAGTGCGTATGCGTGTTGGTGCAATGCTTTCTAGGGTGTCTCTCATGGTTTTGTTGTAGAGTCGGACTAAGGAGCTGGGGTCTTCACAGGTAGCCATTAGTTCACTTAGATCCATATGTGTTGTTACATCCAGTGGTGTGACCCTTTTTAATAAGTGGTGTTTGACCAGGTTCTGAGGCTGGGGTCTGGCTGATTGTGATACAATGGAGAAGTGAATGGAGTGGTGGTCTGACCAAACAACCGGTTACTGGTGACACTTCTAGTCCAGACTGGATCAAGTGTATGACCTTTTCTGTGGGTGGATGATTTGTGTGAAGCCGAGTGCACTGATCAAGCTGAGAAGATCCTGCCCAAGCAGGGATAGGGTGTCATCAATCGAAGTGTTGAAGTCTACTAATATAAGCCATTTGGGGTGTTCAAGGATTAAGCCAGCCAAAAGGTCTGAGAGTTCCTGAAGAAATCTCTTCCCATCTCCTGGGGGTCTGCATATTAACAGTATCCGGAATTCTCTATCTTTTGAGAGGCTGGCAAAGATTGGGGTTTGTGGACTGATATTGGTCTGGGATTTAAGGATGATTTTGCACAGATCATAACTCCACTTCCCTTGCGATCTTGTCTTGGGCGGTGGAACACCATGTAATTGCCTGGAATAGCTGCCTCTAGAATTGGCCCCGCACTTTCATCTAGCCATGATTCTGTAATGCACGCTAAGTTGCAATAAGGTCGGCAATAATAGCGGTTTTGTTCCTTATTGATCTGGCATTGCACAGGATTGATCTGATAGGACAGATTTGGGGTTCTGAGTTTTTGTTCTGTCCTTTGGAAACAGTGTGTCTTCTAATGGGGATCACACAAAGAGGTTTCCTTGATTTGATAGTGTGGTTTTTGTGGCTTCTATAGTGTGGCTGAATCACTTCAATTGAGCTTGCAGGTAGACAGGGTAGTGGAGCAGCTGTGATAGTGTCAGGAGATTGAACTTTCAGTATTATTCCCAAATATTATTCACCCATTTTTCTATTCACCCACAATACATACATAACTATTCATTCGCAAACATGCAAACCCACCTGTTTACAAATATTATACTCATATATAAACAGGCACTAGCGTACACATACATTCATACATACAAATATATTCAAACACGGGCAACACATATAGAGCCACACACATTACATGTGTACAGATATGCAGTTCTGGTTTAGGCAGGTGTGAAAAAATAGAGAAGATGAGAATTCTGAGAACAGACAACATTTTAGAGAAACCTCAGTAGCTTGCCCTTTGCTTAGTCCCTGCTCATCTCTCAAACAATGGTTTTGAAATCCTGGCAAGTTCTCGCTGCACAAGAGATACAGCAACTCTGGGCCATTGATGCGGTCTTTTTTGTGCCCCGTCAGTAGGGTGCAGCTGATACCGCTCTAAAAATAGAGAGCACAGAGTCCACGTCTGGATTACTCTTTTAATTAGGTGAAGCCAAATTTAATACATTGCAACAAAAATAGAGAATTCCGAGAACTCGCAAAAACAAAAAATAGAATCTCCATTAGCTTGCCCTTCAGTTATTCCTTGCTCAGGTTTTACGATAGTTTTAGTTGTGCCATTACAGAGTGAACCCATAACATTTCCATATCAGACTGGTGAAGCACATAAGGACAGTCCCTATCTAAAATGCCAGCAAGTTTCCTCTGCACAAGAGATACAGCAATCCAGGGAGATCGTTTCAGCCTAATATTCTCTGTTTGCTGCTACGCTCTCCCTCTAAGTTAAAAGGGCAATCCAGGTGTGGACCCCGTGATGACTGTGCCTAGAGGTGTATCAGTTACACCTGCCTGATGAAGTCCAAGGAAGGGTGGAGCGATTGTCCAAATTGCTGTATCTCTTGGGCAAGCTGAGGTTTCTCTAAGCTTTTGCACGTTTTCTGTTTTAGAGGTGCAAATATAATGCTGTAAAGCAAGGATGCTTTCATAAATAGAAATGTTAATAGTTTATTTTATGTTATTCAATTAAAGGGATGCTAGATTATGCCCAATGCAGTTTCACTGCTCAATTATCTCCCATTTGAGAGTTAAATCACTTAACTTAGAGTTAAATAAACTCTGTTTATGCAACCCTAGCCACACCTCCCCTGGCTGTGACTTATACAACCTGCATGAAAAAAAAATAGTTTTATTTTCATCAGATGTTAACTTGCTTTTGAATGTTAATCACACACAGGAGGCTCCTTCAGAGTCAAGACGGCTATTAACAGAGCAGGAGATACAAAATGCTAAATTAAACAGAATGTACAATAAAGGAAGTTTAAACATAAGATCTCTCTTTACAGGAAGTGTTTAGGAAATCTGTGCAGGGAGGTGTGACTAGGGCTGCATTAACAAGTGATTTAACTCCTAAATGGCAGAGAATTGAGCAATGAGACTGCAGGGATATGATATATACACCAAAACTGCTTTATTAAGCTAAAGTTCATAACAGCATAATTTCTAGGAACAATTGCACTGTGACGATAGTCACCATCTTAGGGAGCATAAGACGTACTCTTTATGTAGGTCCCCGATGACTCTTATGTTTAAGTCACCCAGAGCCCATTAAAGGTGCAGGGTGTTGTGACAGTAGCAGTCAATGTACCAATGCATTGGTATTGTGATAACTCTGCAGCGCCCTCTACTGACTGAATAAAAATGTTTACATTTAAATAATGCTGGTATGCAAATGTGTGCAACCAAATAAATAGTTGAATACATATATTATTGCTTTTTATTGTGTTTGAAAAAGTTACTTGCATGAATTATGAATTATAATTAATTCATGTATACTTTATAATCGCTTGTTCTCCAATGATTCTGTATATTTGTATTTTAAATGGTTTTCACCACATATCTAAAGACAAGTCACCAAAGACTATTCCTTGTTCAAAAAAAAATAAAATCAAATCAAAAATAAAATAAAGCAATGTGTGTGGGAATTGTGTCTTGTCTGATTTGTTATGCGAATCCAGTAGCAGAGTTTTCGGACCTGCTTGCTGGCTGCACTATTCTCTGGTCCCAGGGACGTATCAAGAAAGAGCTAGGCCTGAGATCGCCAAATGCCTTTGTAAAGTTAGTAGTTGTAAGCAGGCAGACAGAGGGGGTCGATACAGGCCTGGGAGACGGACGTACAGGCAGAAGGGTCCATACCTGCCTCGGAGACAGAGGTGTAGGCAGAGGAATCGATACCTGCCTGAGGGACAGAGGTGTGGGCCAAGGGATCAATACCTTCCTGGAAGGACATAACCCTCTAAAGGCCAGCCAAGCTGGGGTCTCTGTGACTGTTGGCTTGACCCCCAGTCTCATTAATGGTCTTCACTAGTAGACCTCCCACCCCTGGTGACGTTTCATCACCTGCACAAAGTCACAGATTTTGTAGTTACATAGTCAGGTGCATTATTAAAGAATTATAAAAAACGGTGCTGATGGTCATGAATTTAATATGTTGGTTAAAACACAATCATTAAATCGACTCTGTCACTCTATTTTATCTTGCTTTAATCTGTTCCTCCTAATCTGGTTTTATTTTCTTCTTTTTCGATCTTTTTCTAGTAAAGAGATTACTTTGCGTATTTTTTTTATCCGCTTGGCATAAACTTGACCAAAGGCAGAACTATCTTTGTCAAGTTTTTCAACTGACTTCAAACCTTAAACTCAATAGTCGTAAACACCCCCTGTACCTAAATTCTAAATTTAACTCCATTCTAATCCTAAATTCAAAAATCACCATTATACCACATCTTAAACTCATATTATACGCCTTTTATTTTTTTGGGGGGGGGGGTTAGCCCACTTCGAATTCTGTACCTACAGGAACCTGCTATGTAAATCTGGGACTAACTGCAAAATATATAAATATTAAGTTTATGTTTCTCGGTACACTGGTAGGCATATTTTTCTGCCACATGGTTCACAGATGAAGTGAGAAAAAGTAACTAACAGAGAAGAAAAAAATAGATAAACAGTAAAAATCTATAATTATATATTTATTAAATATATAATATATAAATGTAGATTTTTTTTCCCCTTTTAGCGGTCACTTGATCAATGAATAAAATCAAAATTTTTGGGATCGTCCCATAACCATCAGTGACCTTTCTTTCTCCTAAATTTGGACAGATTGCAACTCAGCCGAAAACAAATACTCCGATCTAATACACAGTATATTTATATCCCCCTTTAAGGTCTTTGCATGCAGTATGTTCCATACTTTATTATCATTACATCCTCTCTCAATACACTGTCCTCCTTGTATTTCCAATAACCTTCAGTTTTGGGGAGCGTCCTGCTTTGATATATCTGTTTTGTTTTCTAACAAGCAATTTGTTGCTACTGTCAAGCATTCTTGGATCTGGCAAATCTAATTGTCACATGAACAAGCAGGGGCCATCTGTCATTGTCACACACACAATATATCTGTGGTTATGGGCATTTTCCTGTGAAAGGAAACACTTAAGGGATGACATTTAACACCAGAAATTAGTATCTGTTCTGTCAACACCTCTAGCAGTACACAGAAGCCAGAACACTGTGTGACCAGCCTGAAGCAACAGGGGGAAGGGGTATATCTACAATAAGCCCTCTCATAGCCACTTTAATGCCTCCCTAAGCTGCAGTCTGCAATATGGCTTGGATGATTTATATGGTGTTTAGTCTTCTAATTTAGTGTGCAGTTTTAGGGCTTGCAGAAATATCGAATAAAAAGAACAATCTAAAATAACATGATTTTTTACTTCACGGTTCCATTTATAAAATCACTGTTTGCAAAGTGATTTAGGAGTGAACCACCCCGTGAAAAGTGCAAAGTACAACGTTTCGCCTCAGAAGAACCTTAATCATGCACTTTGCACTCTTTATGGGGTGGTTCACTCCTAAATAAACTCACCATCTTGATCCTGGAGTGTTGCCTGTGTGCATCTGTTCTTGTACTACTTTGGTGAATTCAGCGATGTCCGTCTTGACACAAAGCACCTCTGCAGTGGCGTCACTGGGGGAGGGGGGCACGGCCCCCATTACATCAGGCCGTGCCCCCCCCGTACTGCTCCAAATGCAGGCACTGTATCAAGGGCAATGTGTTTGTTTTTTAAATAATCCCTGGTGGAGAATAATGAATCCTCCACCCAGGATTATTAAAAAAACAACAAAAAAAACATAGTGGTGGGGACGTGGCTGCGTGGCAAAATGATGGCATGGGTGGGGATAAATGTGCCCAGAAGACATCGTTCGGGGTAACTGCTGCACAGGAAGGGGGGAGCAGGAAGGAGTCCCTTCTTCCCCAACATCCAGACTCCTGGAGCTGCACAGCCTCCCTTTCAGCCCATAATGGATAAAGGTAAGTGTGTGTGTGTGTGTGTGTGTGTGTTTGTTTGTATGACTGTGTCTGCCTCTGTCTGTGTGACTGTCTAACCTCTGTGTTTGACTGTCTGCCTGTGTGTGACTGTACCTGTGTGTGTGACTGTCTGTGTGTGGCTGTGTGACTGTAACTGTGTGTGTGTGGCTGTGTGCCTGTGTGTGACTGTCTGCCTCTGTGAGTGTGTGTGTGTGGCTGTAAATGTGTGTGAGACTGTCTGCCTCTGTGTTTGTGTGTGTGTGGCTGTGTGCCTATCTTTGACTGTAACTGTGTGTGTTACTATCTGCCTCTGTGTGTGTGGCTGTGTGCCTATGTGTGTGTGGCTGTGTGCCTATGTGTGACTGTAAATGTGTTTGTGTGTGTGTGACTAACTGTGAATGTGTGACTGTCTGCGTAGTTGTGTGCCTATCCCATTGTACAGCTCTACGGAATTCGCTGGCTCTATATGAATAATAAAATAATAATAATAATGTGTGACTGTAACTGTGTGTGACTGTCTGCCTCTGTGTGTGTAGCTGTGTGCCTATGTGTGACTGTAACTGTGTGTGTGACTGCCTGCCTCTGTGTGACTGTGACTGTAACTGTGTGTGTGTGACTGTGTGCCTCTGTGTGTGTGACTGTGTGCCTCTGTGTCACTATAACTGTGTGTGCATCACACTCTGCCTGTGTGTGACTGTAAGCCTGTGTGTGTGATTTTTCTACGCAGGGCGCCTAAAGGCCAAGGCCGGCCTTGGCTCTATCCCAAAGTGCCCGCATGGACGTCCCCAGTGCTTCCTCCTGTTTTGGAGGAAGCATTTTATGGACCCTCAAGGCGCGCAGCTGTCAGCGCATCAGAGGCAGCGAGGGAGCTGTAATCTACTGATGCCGGGAACCGGAATATGACATCATATTCTGGCTCCCTGCATTGGTAGACATCCAGTGAGGAAGCAGAGCAGGAGGATTACAGCTCCCTCGCCGCCTCTGATGGGCTCACAGCCGCCCGCTTCACAGCAGCCCCACTGGACCTCAGGTACATATCTACTCCAGCACTCCCAACGGCAGAGAGGCTGGGTGGAGAAATTAAAATAATAATATTAGTAATTTGTGAATGTGTGAGAGAGAATCAGTGTGTGTGAATGCCAGTGACTGTGTGAGTGTCTGTCAGTGAATTTCTGTCACATCAGTGAGAGTGTGTGTTTGTAATTGAGTGTTTGTGTGCCTGTCAATGAATGTGTGTGTGTGTGTGTGTGTCAGTGAGTGTATCTGTGTCTGTCAGATCAGTGAGAGTCTGTGTCTGTCAGTGATGTCTGTGTGTTTGTCATTGAATGTGTGTGTGACTGTCAGTTTGTATCTTCCAGTAGGTGTGTGTCTTTTAGTGAGTGTGTGTATGCAGTTTTTTTTTTTAACATGGTTAATTAGACTCTTTCCCTAATTGGTGACTTTTCGCTACCATGATCATCTAAGCATATGTTTATGTCTATACAATCACATGTTCCACTATGTTGTGGTATCTGTGTACTCTAAGTCTCAAAGTGAATTGTGCCTCAAGACATACATAACGTCTAAACACTGCACCTAGTGAAATCACTGACTAATGTTACATTCACATTCGAACACAAGGATTTTCATAGTTTAAACAAAGCATGTTATTTAATTACCCAATATCTGTTACCCTGTTCCATCATTACAGGTTTCTGCCTATTCTTTGATTAAGACCAGTGTATACTATGTTTACCCTCATAGGTTTTACTTAGGGGCATTGTTTTTCCTCCTACTTCTCATTGTTTCTTTCTTACCTTTTTTTTTTCTTTTGTTTTTACATGAGTTGACATATCTCTGTACAAAGCCTTATCGTAGCAGCAGTGTTAATTTTGGCAGCAAATTTTAATTTAGTTTTAGTTATAGTCTTTTGACTAAAAAGCCATTTTAGTTTTAGTCGTATTTTAGTCATCCGAATTGTTTTAGTTTTAGTCTAGTTTTTCGCTTAAAATCTGACTACAATTGTTAGTCTACAAAATTAACACTGCATAGCAGACTTTCAGTCTGACTCTATTGCTATAATCCACTGTGTCCTATTTGCATCATTCCACCACCACTCATTGTATAAATATGATATGAGTATATTGTAGATCAAGCGTGTCAAACTCAAAGACTGGAGCGGGCCACATAAACAAGGTTTAAGTTTATGTGGGCCCCAAAAAAAACAAAACCTTAAAGTTTCATAGAAACGTAGGTTTATTTAAAAAAGTACAGTATAAAAAAAAAAACAGCATCCCCTTCTACTAAATCACAACAACCCCTCTACTAAATCCCAGCCCCCCCCCCACTAAACCACAGCACCTCCCTCTACCACCCTGTGCCAAATCTGATCCTCCCGCTGACACACACACAAATTCACTGACAGACACACACATACAGACACACTGACACACACATACTCACAGACAGACACAAACACATACTCACAGACAGACACACACACATACAGACACACTGACAGACACACACACACACATACTCACTGACAGACACACACACATACTCACTGACAGACATAGGCGTGCGCACGGGGTGTGCCGGGCACACCCTAATGCCCACGGCACGCGCTATCTGCCTCCCTCCGTGGGCCGGTGAGGGAGATCAAAGACCCACAGGGAGGGAGGGAGGCAGGAGAGGACCCGGGGAACTCTTGCCAGCAGCTCCGCCGGGTTCCTCTTGCTAGGTCGGAGCGTTACCGCGGTTATCGCGGCAACGCTCAGATCTCGCGAGAGTGAACTCTAGCTCCCTGTGGGGCTAGAGTTCACTCACCACTGGACCACCAAGGATGGCAGAAGCACGGTCCCCCCTCCCTACATAAGGTAAGAAGGGAGGGGGGATATTAACTAAACGGCCCCCCCACACATTACACACAAACAGCACACAGACACATACATCACCCTTACACACACAGCACCCACACACTAACAGCACCCTCACACACACACCACCCACACACACACACAGCACCCACAACACACACACCGTCACACACTAACAGCACCCACACACACTAACAGCACACACTAACACACACACACAGCACCCACACACCAACAGCACCCACACACAGCACCCCCTCACACACTAACAGCACACCTCACACACTACAGACACCCCACACACACAGCACCCACACACACACACTAACCCTCACACACACAGCACCCACACACACACTAACAGCACCCTCACACACACAGCACACACACACACACACACACACACACACACCCCACACACACAGCCACACACAGCCTGCACACACACAGCACACACACAGCACCCAGTCACACACACAGCACCCATACACACACAACCCCCACACACACACAGCACCCTCACACACTAACAGAACCCTCACACACACAGCACCCACACACACTAACAGCACACACACACTAACAGCACCCTCACACACACAGCACCTACACACACTAACAGCACCCTTACACACACAGCACACACTAACAGCACCCTCACAAACTAACAGCACCCTCACACACACAGTACCCACACACACTAACAGCACCCTCACACACATACATCACCCTTACACACACAGCGCCCTCACACACACAGCGCCTGCACACACACACAGCGCCTGCACACTCATACAGCGCCTACACACTCATACAGCGCCTAAACACACACAGCGCCTAAACACACACAGCGCCTACCCACACACAGCACCCTCACAGACAGCACCCTTACACACACACAGCGCCCGCACACACACACAGTCCCCGCACACACACAGCGCCTTCACACACACACAGCGCCTTCACACACACACAGCACCTAAACACAGTACCCTCTCACACACTCAGCAGTATATGTGTGTGTGTGTATGTATATGTATGTGTATATATATATATATATATATATATATATATATACGCGGCGTGTGTGTTTGTGATTTAGGGTGCACACCCTTATACAATAGGCTGCGCACGCCTATGCTGACAGACACACACTTGCTGACAGACACACACACATACTCACTGACAGACAGACAGACACACACACCCACACTCACTGACAGACAGACACAAACACTGACAGACACACACACTCACTGACAGACACACACTCACACACTTACACATTCTTGCACACACTAACTTTTCTTTATTGCTCCCTACCGCATGGAGCCGATGTGGGGCATCTCCCTGGGATCCTTCCTGCTCCTCACTGCTCCATCGCGCGGTTTAGTGATGCCGGGTGCCAGAATATGACGTCATATTCAGGAACCCGGCTTCACTTCAGACGGCGCGCGTGAGGGAGCTGTGAGGAGCAGGAACACTGAGCTCCCTCGCTGCTTCCAGTGTCCCTTCCTTCCCTGGCCAGGCAAATGTTAGCAGAGTAGGCACCTGTAATATGGGGAAAACAGGTGCCTACTCTGCTATAACACCGAGCATGTACTCGCGGATCGCCGGGCCGCAAAGATGGTCCTTGTGGACCGCATGCGGCCCGTGTGCCGCGAGTTTGACATACTTGTTGTAGATTGTATAAAATGAGGTTTGGCTTATCAATATGTTCGTATGTTATCCACAATTATCTAGCCATTCCCATGTTGTCTCACTTTATTGTCATGCAAATGCCTCAATAAAACATAGATTGACAAAAAAATAAATTCTTTCAACTCTTTTAACTCTTAAAAATAAAAACTCACATTTTATCAATTTTAAAGTGGTCATACATTTGTTTCTGGCGCATTAGTGTATAGTGTATTTTTACATGCAGGCACATTCCCCATACCCAACATTCAGCTAATCCCCAACAGAACACTAAAGGGTTTATTCCAAACACCATGGCCACCTTAGTGATTTGAAGTGATCATTGTGCGTGTGGTGTTTCGGTATGAAACGCTGCAAATACAGTGAAAGGTTTAACCTGTTAGCTGCTGGAGGTGTAACAACACACCTGGCAGAGTCATTGGGGCATCATAAGCCAGCCCATGGCTAATTTCAGTTCTATGCATATAGGACATCTGCATGCTGGAGACAGGTGTCCAATGACAGCACGACCACCCCAAACACACCACACTCAGCCAACCCCCCACACAACACTGAGCTTCCTCACACACAACACCCAGCCAACCTCCCCACACACAACACTTAACCTCCTCCAACAACCAGCACTCAGCCAACAACCCCACACACAACGCTCAATCAGCCACCCGCACACACTGTGAGGCAAACTACAATGCCCCATTTTTTTTTTGTATGTTTTTATAAACTGGGAATTGCACCATCATTTAATATTTCAAAACTTGATGAAGGGATTATTATATTAAAATAGTTTTGAAGTGACAGTTGTCCTAAAAGGACAAAATAGCCAAGCTGGAAAACTAGTTGAATTAGATTTAAAAAATATTTTTAGTTTTGGGCTATTATTTGAAATTTCTTCATCACCATAATTTTCATTTTATTGAATAGATTCACTGAATGTGTATATGATAATAGGTCAGCTGGACATTTAGCTATTGATTGAGCCAATAAATGGTTGTTTGCGGTTGATGTGGTTGTTGGTTGAGGTAACTCTTTACATAGATGGTGATGCACATATCTGATATGATGCATGAGATGGGGGGGGACCTACCAGTACAAAGAGGTATCTTTCTGCTGGAATATGCTGATGTTCGAAGATACTGCTCTCTTCTGCCAGCATGCTGAGTAGACGTCGAGCTTCTGTAGGGTTTCGAAGACTTTTATAAGAGGTGTTAGAGGTGACAGTGAGGAGCAAGTCTGCCTCCTTGTGGAATCCTGAGGTAGGAGAGTGAGATGTTTAAAATAGATGAAATGAGGATAAAGAGAATCGTGCGAGAAACAAATACAAGGTGAGCGGAGGGAAGAAGCAAATTAATGGCATTAATTTGAACTTATCAAATGGCCAGTATGAGAAGACGGGAGAATGTCAAGTAAACAGAATATTGAGTGAGTGTGGAAAATATGAGGTGTGAGTGGCAGATGGGAATACGGTAGAAACAAAAGATATAAATGAAGCAATAATTAAAATTAACGAGACAGGTAATGGGAGGCAATTACAAATCACCTGCATCTTGTCTAAAAAGATATTCCAACTAAAAGACTTTACTAGCAAGCAATCTGCCATACTTCTCAACATTTCAAATGGACAAAGACGGACACTTTAATTTTAGGGGTGTGAGTGGGGTGTGTTTAGGGGAGCGGCTGTTCTGAGAAATATTGGGTTCCTTACTAATGATAATTTAGAAATTATGTCTATGCTCCTCAACCTTTTCTCACCCAGAGCTCTTCCCAGAATTCCATAGCCTTCAACAAGCAAAAATATATATAAAAAATAGGAGTAATAAAGTGCATACACAGAACAGTGCTACTTTTCCCCACAGAACACGCCACAGTCAGTTTGCCAATTAAAAATATGCCACAGTAAGTTTGGCATTGATATATATCACAATCAGTTGTGCAATTAATGCATAAACACTGACATATATAGAGACAGATACATACTGTATACAAAAATGCTGACATTAAAGGTTTTTGTTCTTGGTAAATCATCCCTTCATTTGGCCTTGGTAAAAGAAACTCCCAGGGGTGTAGATTGAATTGTCTATGAAAAATGCTTGATAACAGGGTGAGAATGTTTCCCGAACCTTGACAACCAGAGTAGAATCACGTCTCAGAGTGTCACTTTAAGAGCAGAATCAAATGCACCATTTTACTCACCCATATCTTCAAGCAGCACCCGCCATCGGTCCTTCACATCTTTTCGAACCTGTCTGTGAGCACTGATATCAAAGCTCAGCCGTCGATATCCCTTTCATAAAACAAAAATGTTAAATTTTGAGCATACGGGTGGCAAATGGGGCATAAAAAGTAGTAAATCAAGCTTAACCTGCACAAAACACTGTCATGATGATACGCTAAGCGGCATAGAAAGCCATGGATGGTGCTGCTAAAATCAGTTACGCTTGGAAGATTCCGTTTAAAGATGGAAGTCATATTTAATATCTTCTGTTCCTGAGTTCAGCCAGTAGATCTATTTTCCAAACGTAAACGCAGGCTTTGCATGACGCTTGGAAAATAACTTGTGTAAGAAAGTGAATTATAACAAAACAAAAATAATAAAAAAATAAATAAAATTGTTGCAGAATTTATGGCAGTTTTTTTAGTACATGAAATTGCAATGCCATTTTTTGATTAGAAAATAACATTGCGGTTTCTATGGCCCACTTGCACTCCGGTCTAAATTCTTTACATTTCGGCATTGCCGCAAAGTTGCATCACAATGAATGTCATTTTTGGCATAACTTTGCTGCTGTGCTAATTTGAACAGCATTGGGTTCTAGGGAATTGAGCATCATGTATAGATTGGTTGTAGAGAGCTAACATTTGCTCACTGACTGACCTCTGACCCTCGGCGTGTTCGCGCTCGCTTCTGTAGAAGGTTATATAATTCCCGGTCATCGTCACGCTCAGTGTGAGACACATCCTGGGGTTCATTCCATAGGTTCGCCTCCTCTGCTCGTCTCCTCTTCACCTCTCGATCAAAGTAGAGCAAGGTATCACTACAAGAAGGGAATTTTTAAACTGAGTGTTAGTAGATAAAAAAAGCATATTCTGTAAATATATAAATCTCATCTACAAAACACACAAACAGTGGTTTTTAACCAATAATGTTATTTATTTGACTCATAGACCCTCAGGGAACTCTCAAAATGTATTTTGTGTTTTTCCAACAACGTTCGTAACAACAACAACTTTAAAATCGTGTTTTAAAGAGTTGCTAATCTCTTTACTTAGTTGCAGCCACAGGAAAAAATTCAACCCTGGATGAAATGGGAAAAGGAGATAAATGTTGAATTGTACTATGAGGATTGGATAACAGGCTTGGTGCTAGTAAGGAAGAACACACACAGTATGAATTTAATAGAAACCCAATATAAACGAACACTGCGTTGGTAACTCCTGTTAGACTACACAAAATGTACCCTAATTTGTCACAAACGTGTTGGAGATATGTAGCTAACGATGGCTCCTTTCTTCTTTGGTGGGGATGACCTGAATGACCTGATGACCTAAAAAATACCATCAAGGCTTTACAAAATCTCTTAATATCCTTATTAGACAGCAGATTTGAACTATCTCCTCAGATGTTTCTTTTCAACATTTATCTCTCGGGAAATCATATCCAGAACTGCTTAATAGTGCATCTATACTAAGCAGTTAAAATTTGTATAGCACGAAGATGGAAATATTGCAACAAATAGACTACCAATATAGAATGGAAGCAGCATTTTCTTGAGAGCATTCTCAATATGTCAAATATTTGAAGCTCTGGGCCCCTTGGAAACATTATAGAGAGAACAATAATGGTTTAGTTTAGATGGGATGCTTAGACGTGTGATGAATGACTGATAGTCTAGTGTATGTAAGTCTTATCCATATTAACATAATAACTTTTAAAGAAATGCTGAACGTACAAATATAAAGTTTTTCACGTACGTTTTTCACTTACAAAGACATGTTAATGTATATGTATTTATTTATGCTTTTCTGTAATTGAATGATTGTAACAGTATTTATTTTGAAAATAAAGAAATAGAATATATATAAAAAAATAATAATTTTGTTTTAATCGTTTCATCATTTTGTATACATGTTGTGTTGGGCAAATCGAGATATAATGTATCAATATATCGTTTTTCATTTGCTTCCCAGGCATACAGACCAGTGATGATACCACAAACTATATTAGGAAGTGTTGGGAAGGATTGACAGAAAGAATCTTCAGACAATCTAAATTATATGTATAACTAGCTGAAGATATCCATACGTTTTCTGGATGACAAGTCAACTTTAATCTCACATTCAACCCACTTGGACTCAATTAAATTATTATGGATAAATGTCTCAAATGATCAAAATCTGTTAAGAAAAAATATCAAATTCCCTACCCCTATCACACACAATAAATGATAGGAATAGAAAAAATAGGTAAAGAGAAGGAAAAACAGCTGAGGCCTGGGAAGAGATGGGTTAAAGTGATATGGACTATAGCTAGCTTGCCTAAAGTATTTAAAGTTCATGTTGTTACAAATGACTGTAAATATGACTGTAAAAGACTTAATGTATCCCCCTGGCCCAAGCAGACATGGCCAAGCAGAGTGCCCACACTGCCAGTCACCCAGTAGCAGAATTTCTCTAATAAAGCGTTGAATTGAAGTCGGCTGCCTGTTACTGTTCTTCAGATCAGAACTTTGTCACTGCGTCAGATCAGAAACCATGTGGACTAGCACGGCACTATTTTGGCTGGGAGTAGATGGTTGGGTGAGCATTACGGTGAACTAAGGGGGAGCAGGAGCCCCAGACATCCAGACAAAAGGAATCCGAGGTCTCGCTGGATGGGAAATCTCATTACCTCAAAACTGATCACATAGGTCCAAGACTGGATGGCACACGGGAGGAATTACCTTTTGTACACCTAATCACCCCCTGTTGGTTCAATATACATTGGTTTGGTATAAATATACGTGATTTTGTTCAATAAAGTGTACTTGTTTTCAAGTGTTTAGGTGGCTATATTCACTGAACTGTAATCTGCTGTTGTAAGGAGAGAAGCTAGCAGAGGTACTTGTACTGAATACCCAAACTCCATTACATTTGGTGGCAGTGAAGGGATCGACTCCCTCCTTGACAGAGTGCAGTCAGAGCATCGCCAATAGAGCAGCACCTTTAGCTGCTGAAGAGAAGTATTTTGAAGGGTCTCCTATGAGCTCAACTATAGGTGACCAGCCACAAATTCAAAGCCACTTTGATCTCTGAACTCATGGACAGTGACCAGGACAGCAATTCCTCATCTGAAGTTCTGAGTCGGCCCTACATGGGGTAGACCCAGCAAACTGAATCTTGATCCTTTCAAGCAAATTGAGAGGGAGGGCCACTGAAGCCTATAGAGCTGTCCTGGACAGTTGGATGCAAGGGTGCAAAGCCACCTCGCTGGCAGATGCGGTACAGCTCATCCTCCTAGTACAGTTTTATGACTGTGACACCCAAAATGCGAGACTGGGTCAGAAACAGGCAGCCCTTCATGGGCTTATGAGCATCAGGATACCAGAAGGACCCAAAGACAGATGTCACCCCCATTTCAGGGAGTGCCCATACCAGCCCTTCAGTACTTCCAACACCTGCTTCTCAGGTTAAAAAGTAGGGCCTCTTTCGGTGGAACCAAATAGGTTACGTCCGCAGCAATTGTCCTCATGGGAGGACCAGACCTAGACCAAAAACACCTTAGACACAACTGGTTAATACACAAGTCCTGGACTGGTAGGGGAGCCTTGAAGACTGATTTGGGAACAGGGGAGGGCTGGCAGCCTTAGGCCTGGGGGGCAAATCTAGTCAAGTGAACCATTGCAAGAGGAGAGTAAAAACACATTTCCCATGTGATTGAAAGGGGGGGAGGGGCAGTCACCTAAACACACACTCACAGGCACACACACTTGCTGATTTGACACACACTAACAAGCACACATTCACTGATACACACACACAGACAGACATACTGTTACAGGCATACTGACTCACACAGACAGACATACACACATACACAGACAAACTGGCACACACACATGCACCTTACACTCTTACAGCAAGTAGACCGGAGCTGAGGGGGGGATAGAAGCTGAGAGGGGGGACAGGAGCTGAGGAGCTGAGGATAGGGGGGATAGAAGCTGAGAGAGGACAGAGGGAGGGACAGGAGCTAATGGGGGATAGAAGCTGAGGAGGACAGGAGCTGAGGGGATAGAAGCTGAGAGGGGACAGAGGCTGAGGGGGGATAGAAGCTGAGAGGGGGGACAGAGGGGGATAGAAGCTGAGAGGGACAGGAGCTGAGGGGGGATAGAAGCTGAGGGGGATAGAAGCTGAGAGGGGATAGAAGCTGAGGGGGGGATAGAAGCTGAGAGGGGAGACAGGAGGGGGGGGACAGGAGCTGAGGGGGGATAAAAGCTGAGAGGGGGCAGGGAGCTGAGAGGGGGGGACAGGAGCTGAGAGGGGAGGAGCTGAGAGGGGGGGACAGGAGCTGAAGAAAGGGACAGGGGAAGGGGGGCAGGAGCCAGCAGTCAGTGAAGTCGGCCTCTCCTGATGATGTCAGGGGTAGAGGGCGTGACTTCCTCTGCTCTTCTCCCAGACTCCCCAGCGGTCCTGTGAGAAGAGCAGAGAAAGTCACGCCCCCCGCTGACATCATCAGGAGAGGCCAGCCGACTCCACTGGCTGCAGGGAGAGAGGTGAGTTTAGAAATCCGAGTCCCCAGCTAGAGGCAGGGCCAGAGAGAGAGCCAGAGCCAGAGGCAGAGGCAGGGCCAGAGCCAGAGGAAGGGGATTTGGATTTTATCTTTTTTTTGCTGGGTGCGGATGGCCCCGGATTTAGGGCAACCTGGGGAAAAATTGCCCCCTGTCCGGGAACCACAGAACTATCAGTTGCCTACTGTCCGTGTGCACATGTATTGGGGCACAGTGCCTGCAACCTGGGTGAGGGTAGTACAGGACCTCTCTGCAGAAATATTACTACAGTGCATATCATGTGACAACCAGACTGCAAACACAAGCTTCTCCCACAACCCCACACTTCAGAGACTCAGTGACTCTGACCCCCCAACGACCCCTGCCCCACTGACCTGGGATACACTAACAGAATTTGGAAGGGAGATTTAAGAGGAACGCACTCTAGTTAGATATCACTCCCTGGTGGAAACTGACCAGGTGGGCTGGACGGTTTGAATGGGAGTAGTGTCACCCATATTCCTTCACCCTCCCACTCAAACCTGCAAGAGTTATTGAGGGTCAGTAAAGATATTCCATAGGCAGGTCATCTTGGGATCCACCGAACCCTCCATTGATTCACCCAAGGTTTCTATTGGCATTGGGGACACCAGACACTGCCAGACGTGTGACACATGTCAGCAGGTAGGGAGAAGAGGAGACTGCCCAAAGGCTAGTAAACTATTCCTACTTATAGTGGGAGAGAAAAATGGCTGGGTACCAGACTGGAAAAATTTGAGGACCAAGGTAAGAGTCAAACTAGTATGGTGCTTAGATTAAAGGGTTATCCCAGTGTCCATAACCACTTATGCTTTTAGAAGTGGTCATGGAGTTAAATATCTGGATGTGCAACACTGCTGTTGGAAACACTGCACATCCAGAGTCATTTACACTTTTGTGCCAGGGGCTAGTTACACCCCTGGCACACGTGAATTTTGGCAGCCAGGAACTCTGTTCTGGGCTGTATATTTTATGTCTTGTCAGATCACACTGGCTACAGATGTTCTCTACTTCTGTGTCTCCCCTCACTCACTGATTACAGCCCTCCTGCCTCCCTATCCCCTCTTTTACATATATATTGTTTCACTCCCCCTTACTCCACATCACCCTCTGCAATGCATTATTCTTTTTAACCCCTTAAGGACGGAGCCAAATGTACACATTGTGAACAAACAAATGTAAACAAAACCTGGCATTTGCGCTACATGTCTGTCCAACCGTAATACACCTCTTTCATAGCAAATGCACCCACCCTTATTATATATCATTTTATTCAGGGGAAACAGGGCTTTCATTTAATATCAAATATTTAGCTATGAAACATAATTTAATATGAAAAAAATGGGAGAAAATACGATTTTTTTATTTTTTTAGTTCTAAATTGCATTTTAAAGGTCAGTGTCATAATACTGTTTGATTTTACTGCAATAAAATATACATATTTGTATTTAGTAAAGTCTCACGTGTAAGACAGTACCCCCTATGTACAGGTTTTATGGCGTTTTGGGAAGTTACAGGGTCAAATATAGCACGTTACATTTGAAATTGAAATTCGCCAGATTGGTTACGTTGCCTTTGAGACTGTATAGTAGCCCAGGAATGAAATTTACACCCATAATGGCATACCATTTGCAGTAGTAGACAACCCAAGGTATTGCAAATGGGGTATGTCCAGTCTTTTTTAGTAGCCATTTGGTCACAAACACTGGCCAAAGTTAGCATTAGTATTTGTTTGTGTGAAAAATGCAAAAAAACGCCAATTTTGGCCGGTGTTTGTGACTAAGTGGCTACTAAAAAAGACTGGACATACCCCGTTTGCAATACCTTGGGTTGTCTACTATTGCAAATGGTATGCCATCATAGGGGTAATTTTCATTCTTGGGCTACCATAGGGTCTCAAAGGCAACGTAACCAATCTGGCGAATTTTTAATGTGAAAAAAATGAAACACAAGCCTTATATTTGACGCTGTAACTTTTGAAAACACCCTAAAACCTGTACATGAGGGGTACTGTTGTACTCGGGAGACTTTGCTGAACACAAATATTTGTGTTTCAAAACAGTAAAAAGTATCACAGCAATAATATTGTCCGTGTAATGCTGTTTGTGCGTGAAAAATGCAACAAAACACCACTTTTGCGATATCATCGTTTGTAATACATTTTACTGTTTTGAAACACTATTTAATGTTCGCTGAAAACAAGGCTATTACACCCATAACTACAGGTTTTTATATTTTCAATCTCAGAAAGGATATAAGTTGTATAATTAACTAACTTTCGTCTAAATTCCCTTTACTTTCGGCATGGGTTGTCAGGCAGGTCCTGCTAATTGTAATTAATTAAGATACCTAATTATGTAAAAATATTACATAAATATATATGTAGAATTAATATATGTATATATATACGTATGTGTATATATATGTATATATCTATATAATTTTTAAATATTTTTATTTATATATAGGTATATATATAGTGATATATACGTATATATTTATGTATATAGATATATATATTATTTCGTTCTACGTGTATTTTGATATATATATATATATATATATATATATATATATATATTAATTTCACAAAACAGTTAGAGCGAAATAACACACATCTATATATTTTTTAATTATTTATTTTTAATTATTTTTTTAATTTTATTTTTTAACGTATTTACATTTTTATTTTTTTTTATATTATATATAATATATATATAACTTAATAATTTATATATATATTTAATCAGTATCAGTCTACGTGTAATTTTGATATTAATATATATATAATTATATATATATTAATAGTAAAATACACCTAGATGGTGTATGTGTGTGTATGTATATGTGTATATATATACTTAGATCATATATATATAATATATATATATGATCTAAGTATATATAATATTTTTTTTTTACACCATTAACTTATTTTACTTTTATTTTCAGCCAGCAGGGGGACCACCTGTCATTACAGGCAGCCCCCCTGCCGGCAATACAGAAGCCAGCTATACCCGGCCATGTGATTGTGGGGTCCTCGCTGGGACCCCACTCTCACATGGCCGGGGGGCTTCAACGAGGACGGATGTGCCGCGGGGGGCTCCCTGGGAGTCC